CTGAAGCAGCACAGCTCTGGTGACATTTTCCTGGTAAATTCACCAGAAATTTTGATTCTGAGCTGTAGTCAAAATATGGTGGGATCTCCTTCTGCTGGTCAAAGCTTTTCCAAGGCAGGGTGTTGGGTGGAATTTAACAGAAATTCCACATTCCCACACTTTTCTCCCCCGCTGAGTGGTGGGGAGGGGGTGGGACCCCAACCCCAGCGTGGGGAGATGGCAGTGCCTGGAGCAGCTCCGTGTCCCTGCTCACACTGCTCCAGTCACCCATCCCTCCATTCCAACATCACAGGGACAACCCAATCCTGGCTCCCTCGCCTTGGTTTGGGGTGAAACCCTCAGAGAGGACTTGGATGGAGCCAGAGGCTGTTGCTGATGGTCAGAGCACACAGGAACCATCACGAGGATCAACTGGGAAGCAAATCTCCATTTGCTGCTGCCCAGCTCACAGGTGAAGATGAAGGAGACAAAGAGGAAGAGGAAGGAGACAAAGAGGAAGATGAAAATGATGGCTCAGGATGCCAGCACAGCCCGAGGTCACCCCCACAAAGGGTGAGGAAGGAATGAAGGGCCAGCAGTTGTCCCCCAGCATCCTCAGGACAGACAGACAGAGAGCCAGCAGCCCACAGAGCCTGGAAGGACAGAGCAGCTGCACAGGGACCCAGAGCTGGGATTACAGGACCAAAACTCCAAATTTCTTTTCAAAGATACCCAAATACAACATAGAAAAAAGATGATGCAATGTCTTGTAACCAACAAATGCCATTTCCCATTAATTTTTCTCCAGGAGCTTGTGCCTTTTCTGTTCCATTTTTCTTTTAGGCTGCACTGGGGATTTGCAGACAGCAGTGCTAAAACCTAAAAGGGCAAATAAACACAGGGACCATTTGCTTGCTGGCTCTGCGCACCAGTTTGTGGCAAAAATACCAGAACAAATGATCAGAGGGCTTTTTCTTTCCTTTTAAGCAGAACTCCTGACCTGTGCACTCGGGGGTGAAATGATTCACTTAGTTTTTTTCCAGAGTCTTGGGGGCTCAGCCATGGTTTTCAAAGTATATTTTAGAAGGTGAGTCATCTTCCATGTCTTCCTTGGTTTCTCTGTGTTTCATTGTAACAATAATACCTTCTTCTTACTTTTTTCTTGGTGATTTTCAAAAACTTTACAGGAGTTTTTCTTTCAAAACCCCACCCTCATCTGAAAAATAGTGCTGTAAAGCCCATAAAAATTGCAACCTGGAGAAGGAGCTCCTGTCCCTGGGTCAGCCATGGCAGCTGGTGTCACACTGTGAGTGAGAGATCAATTCCATTTTTGCTGAAACCCTGTGGCTGCTGGTCCCCAGCTCCCCGTGGCAGTGGGAGGTGACACCTGGAGCCTGCCCAGATGTGGCTCCTGCCCGGGGCCAGCAGGGAAGGGGAATGAAATCCTGGTGTGCTCAGCACCCAAAGGCAGAGTTAGCAGTGCACACAAAGTGCACAAGGTTTAATTGTGCTCTGACTCACCCCAGCCCTGCACAGATGATCCCTGTGCTGACTCACAGCGGTGCAAGGTGGGCTCACACATCACCCCAAATGAGGGAAGGTGAATTTTCAGGTGTCCATTGTCTGATTTATCCACCTCCACCGTGCCTTAAGCTAAAATATCAGGTTTTCCTTTGTGTGTAATCGACCTGGGCTGGGACAGAGGGCACTGAGCACAAACTGACTTCATCACAAAATGGTTTGGCTTGGGAAGGAACTTTAAACATCATCCAGTTCCAACCCCCTACCATGGGTAGGGACACCTTCCACTGTCCCAGGCTGCTCCAAGCCCCGTCCAACCTGGCCTTGGGCACTGCCAGGGATCCAGGGGCAGCCCCAGCTTCTCTGGGCACCCTGTGCCAGGGCCTCCCTATCCCTTCTAGTTGGAGGAAAGAGGAGATTTCAAACAAAGACAGGGTTTATACACTAATTCACTCTGCTGAGGACTCTCAGCAAGCCCAGTGTCTGCCTTTCAGTGCAGCTCAGCACTGAACTTCAAGGGGAAAATGAGATGCTTTTTAAGTACTTATTCTGTGGCTTTGAGGGAAAATACCTCCTCAGCCCCAGATACAGTGGGAGGTTTTATTGCCTTTATTGTCGTATCACTGACCTCAAATGCTGCTGCTTTTTTCTCATACTTGAAGTGTCAAAGGCGTGTGTGCCCTTTTCCACATCTCTCTCCTCCAGAAATTATGACCTAAATCAGGCAAAGCCAAAGAGCTCTACAGAAGCGTGAGAAATTGGAGTGCAAGGGGGAAGAAAATGCCAGGGATGGTCGAAATGGTACCCGGGCATTTCAGCCCTCTTTTATCATCTGGGGCTGCATCAAGTCAATCTCTTTCTCTGGAGATGCTTAGAGCAATTACATTTGTTCTATTTATTCTCCCTCAAAGGCTCGGAGATGAGTCAACAGAAAAATCTTTTAGGATGAAAAATTGAAACTTGAAATAGGCAATATCCCTGGACAATTTGTTCTGCAATCAGAACAGCATTCTCTTTCCTTACTGCTCTCAATCTCTAATTTAAAAAGGAAAAGAAAAAAAAAAAGAAAAAGAAAAGAAAAAACCCAAAATGTAACAGTCACATCTGTAAATACAGTTCTTCTCAGTCTTGCTTGCGAGCTCGAGGAGCTATTTTGAGGCAATACAGAAGTGCTTGTTTTCTAGAGTTCATTTCTGGTGAGAAAATTCCCTCAGCTCTACTCAGAAAATCCCAGGCGAGAGCAGGAGCTCTTGGAAAGCCTGGAGCCATCCCACTCCCACACAGCACAGGCAGTGGAAGGGAAGGACAAGCCACACACCTCTTTGAAGGATTTCTTCACCTCCACCAGCGGGTGCCAGTGGGCGATGGGCTTGCGGGGGTAGGCGAGCATCTCGTTCCAGTGGTCTCTGCCCAGGCCCTCGGCGTTGATCCCCACACGGCAAACCCCGATGATCTCGTTGTGACCCACCCTGAGGAGGAGGAGAGAAACAGCAGCATCACCATCCA